TATACAGTTATAAGATATATTTGAATATTAAAACATACTTTATTATAATATTATATATTGTCTTGTAATATATACATTTATAATAGAATCAATATTTAGAGGGAACATATAATATGTTTTTGTTTTACAGGAGAAAGAAATTATCATTTACTGATTATCAAATAATATAACACATAATTAAGTATACAGGATAATTAAAAAAATAGAGGTCAGTTATTCGGTAGGTGACTGACAATTCAAAAACGAGAAAAAAAGTTGATACAAACATAGATCCGAAAATTGTTTTCAAGTTATCAAAGTTTTCGAGTTTTTGTAAATTTTATAACGTAATTAAAGTTAAATAAAAGATGCAAGCTGTTTTAACACCACCTAAAATGCACCACGAAGTACAGCCTTATATGGCATCCCGCTTTAAAATGCACGCACGCACGCAATGCATTTTCGGACCTTTGTTTATACTAATTTTTTTTCTTGTTTTTAGGTCCCCAATCGCCTCCCGAGCGATTGACATATACTTTTGAAACACTCTATATAATAAATTAGTAGAACTTAAAATGTAAGATTTTTATATTTAGAATAGTAGTACACACACACACACGCCCACGCACACACACACACACACACACACACACACGCGCGCGCGCACGCGCGCACGCACGCACGCACGCACGCACGCACGCACGCACGCACACAATGGTAGTTGCATTACAAGAAAGTAACTGAACAGTAATGATGCACTATTTTTTAACTAATTTTAAATAACTGTTATTTTTTAAAATTATTTTTTCAAATCGTTTTTTAAAATCATTTTTTTAAATCGAATTATTTTTTAAAATCGATAACTTGTAATTGTAACTAGTTACTTTTTCAGTAAAAGCTGTAACTTCAGTAAAAAACTGTAACTAGATATTTTTACAAATTAACTTTCCCAATCCTGGAAATATACTATGGACATAATGATGTGGATATTTGGGCATAACATGGAGAATCTAATGTCGGTACAATTAAACAAATTAAAAGTAGAACTGATGTACGGATGGCTACTTGAGAAGTATGTCGGAAAACTACTTTAGTCGTTGCCAATGAATGAAAATGATATGATGTTGCGGTTGCTGGCATATCTGAAACACATTGACGTGAACATAGATATTTCTGACTTACACATCCGGCTTAGATATTAATAGTCATAGCAGAGTAGCAATCCTTGTAGAAAATGAATTCTATTAATATGTGCTTGGCTACAATACAATCAATAACCATAATATGACAATTTGTCTTAACCGCAAACCATCTACTATCAACTATTGTCTATCATCTATTATGCAAGTTTATGTGCCAATAGTGAATGCTCCTGATGAAAAATTTGAAGACTTTTATAATATTACAGATAACTATCAATAAAATTTCAGATCGTGAAATATTGATAGTAATGGACGATTTGAATGCTAAAGTTGGCCAGTCAACCTGGAGTTGAGCACATTAGAGAAAAGTTGGGAGATATAGCATAGGATCTAGAAATAAAAGAAGAGAGAGATTGTTGCAATTTTTTTATTAAGAATAATTTTACAATTACAAACACAAGCACTAAAAATCATACATATAAAACGGCTACACGTCTGGCTAAGAAAGAAAAAGATCTATTGACTATATTCTTGTTAAAAATAAATAGTGTTCTCTAATAATATCAGCAAATGTTAGCTAGTGCAGAATTTATTTTTAATAGCAAATTATTATCATTATATTATAACGTTTTTACGACACCTGGATAGTCATTTATCTCAATCTTTACCTATACACGATCCTGATGATTTATGGCAGTGTATGTCGAAGAAGCAATAATAACATTCATACAATCAACGTAAACTCCTAGAGTTAGGGCTCATTCACACCTGGGCAAAAAAGTGAAAGCATAACAGCAGAAGCCAAGAGAGTGACAGAGTGAAAAACTCTCGCAAGAGAGAGACGGATTATCAGCGCGAGTTCTGATTGGCTGCTGCCTTTCTGCTTTCTATTTTTCTGCCCAGGTGTGAATGCGCCCTTAGATCTTGGCGCCAACTATGGATGACTGAGAATATCCTGGATATAATTAAACGCAAACGTCATTTTTTTTCTTTTGCTAAAAGCTTGAATATTTCAGAGGAAGTTTCACATTGGCTGTCTTCAACAAAGAAATCTGTTCAGTGAGTGCTTTGCGTTGCGCTCCTAGTAGTAGCTTATAGTTTCTGCTGAATGCACTTCTATGGGTCGTCTTTCAAGATGTGCTGAAAGTACTGACACTACTGTTTTTACCTTCCGGAATTTTCAGCGTGCTGCAAGAGAGTTATAATTACTACTTTTTTGACGAAAGTAGATCTTAGGGAATTGCTGATTTTCGGCTGATTTTGCACATACTCCCGAGGTAGTGCAAGTTCAATAATGGCAGCTGGGTTTCGTGGACTATAAGCATACTTGCGTCGCTCAAATCCTTTATCTGAAAGGAAAGTTACGACATTCTCAATATAATTTTTTACGCGTGGTTTTAATTACATTCGATCGTTCTTAGTTCTAACGATATTCAAAATATCTTCTTTGTCATCTGAAGATGAACTTCCCCAACAGTTTTCATTGAAATTTGTAATATTTTGTGTAGCACAATTACAATTGTGGTTAATTTCTTTATAATTTTAATATCACTTTTATACACTTTTCTTTTAAATGGATTATATCGCTCTTCTTGTCATTCGTGAATGTTGAGTTATATCAATGTGTCATTTGTAATATTGCATGTGCTGCAATTGCGTTTCGATCTTTTTGCTACCACGGTTTATTGACAATTTCAGGATGGTCGAAATATGCTGATTTCAATAATAGTACTGTCAGCATTTTTAGCGCATTTATAGATGCCGACTATGCCTACGGCAACCGTAACAAAAACATAGAGCATAAAGAATGAATGGGACATTTATCGTAATAGAAGATGTAAATTTAAGTAACGTTATAGATAATGTAATGCAAAATTTAGTTCATGAAATTCTGAATCGTAAAGCTAGGTTATTAGCGAAATGTTCATTAAAAAATTCTAGTTCTGTAAATTACCAAGTATTATATAATATATTTCATGATTATTTTATATAGTGTATGTATTTATGTACTATTTTGTAATCTTTCATGAATACCATTTGGAATACAAAAAAATATAAATAATATTGTTAGAATTATAAATTGATTCTTTCTCTTCTGTTTCTCTATTATGGGGATTGCAGAGATTTAAGGATCCCAGTTGTTACATTCTTAAAGCGCATCTACTTTTGATATGATAAAAAAGATGGCGAAAGATGTTTAACAGACATGTTGTAGAAGCTTAAGCTGCTAGGTGGCATTCAGAGCAAAATCTATAAAAGTTGCATTCTCCGCTGAATGTAACTAGTTTAATGAATTAACAAAATTTAAAAGCAGAAATATAGAAACGATCAAAATATTTATGTTAAAAATGTATGCGCAGGAATATAAAACCATTTGAAAACCCTTAGCACTAGAGAAGCATTCCAGAGGATTAACTACGAAATTTAAGATTCGAAGTTGGCTTATCAAAAATAAAAATAACTATTATAAATTTAAATAAAATTCTGGACACCAGGAAACAATACGAAAATGTACTTTGATGAGATACAATTTTATTACATCACTCCTTGATTTGATGACCTGGACATAATTGTGAGAAGAAGTACAATGAACCATATAGATAAATTAGCTCGCAAAAAAGCATAAGGCGTTGATCCAATTACTGCGAAAATTATTAAAGTCCTTCTTCTTTTAGTTATGTAAAAATCATACATCAAATCTGCAGATTACTGTATATATTTATGCAGTTTCATAAAAGACAGGGCCGTGCAAATAAAATGCAGTGGCGCACCGTACCAGGATGTTAAGGTATCTCGGAAAATTTCAATTAAGATATAAATAATTTACATTTTTCTTACAAATTATTATTCATTTAAATTATATTTATTTTATATACATAATCACAAATTATTATTATTTATTAATAATTTATTAATAATTATTGTTTATTACAGTTAAATTATTTATTGCAATTAAATTTAATTGTAATAGATAACTAATAAATAATTTGTAACTTAATTATTTATTACAGTTAAGTTATTCATTACAATTATTACAGAATTATTTATTTTTTTATATACAGAATTACAAATGATTTTATAAATAATTTTATAAAAATGCAAAAATGAATAAAAGCGTTGCTCAATGTATAACGCAAACAATAAAAGAATTTAGAATTGATATATTTCTTTAAACCTTCCAAAAAATATTCTTTTATTGCATGATATTCGGTTTTTTTTCTGTGATTAAAATAAAACAAAAGTTTACTTTCGTCAATTGTCAACTATGCATGATCTGTCTGAAAATATTACTGTAATCGTTGGACTAAGGGATCGTCCATTAATCACGTGATATATTTTTCGGCGTTTTTTATCCCCTCCCCCCTCCATTCCCTTGCGTGATTTTAAATTATATCATAGCTAATAATCATAGCCTTCCGTTCTATCATGTGATTTATTAATGTCGTTTTATTAATAAGAAATTCACGTATAAATACATAAATATATATTTATTTTACATATTATATAATACATAAATATATAAATACATATAAATATATGTTTATTTTATATATTATATAATTATATATATAATTTTATATATTATATATATAATAATTATGGGGAAATATGCTGTAAACTTTTCTTGTTGACAAAGGTGGCTCTAAAAATGGCTTATATCTAATCAAAAAGCTTATAAGCCATTTTTATTAATAAAAGAGAGCTCAAAATACCAGTCTTAGTAATTAAAACACACGAAAAGAGACAATAGAAATAAATTGCGCGAAGACAATTGCGATAGAACTCTCTTCAGTCATTTCTTTCCTCTGTGTATGTATGCTATTGATATTTTATCTCGTTGTCTTGATTATAGTGATGTCAATTATGTTATCTCCACAGAATTACCGAACGACAAGTTCTTCGGAGCGTACCTGAAAGCAGGCATCATGCATGGCATCGTTTACCAAGTAAGATTCCTGACCTGGGTGGCCTGGAAGCTGTTATGTAAGAGCGACGCAAGTATGAAGAATTGGTGCTTGGGCACAGAGGTGCGCAACGCTCGTGGGTTACACGATCTGGTGCTGAAGTATAGGGTCAAGGGCACGGCGAACGGGCACATATTCGACGATATCGTCAACGATAGGTGCATGTATCGCTTCGTCCAGATAAAACACAATTGCAAGAGCGCGCAAATCACTTATGGCTCACTGACGTCCAAGAACAAAAAGAATCAGTACAGCCTGATCTACCTATATAAGTCTTACATAGATATGCTCGGCAACTTCGAAAATATAACGATAGATCAGGTCCAGGATATAACGATCTTCACGAACGCCAACATTGATTCCGACATTAAATTCCTCGTGCCGGTGAACAACGACTCGATCTTCGGCTTCGAAGGGAAAGGACAGCGCTATCGCATCGACAACAACATATTAAATGAGGACCCGAATCTGTTCATACAGCTGCGGAAAGTGAAGCCGAACGATTTAATTATATTCGACTTTCTGAAGAAGTTGATGTTCGCGATAGATCAGCCGTGCGAATCCGAGCTGGAAAATCTGATTGTCAAGGAGATGGGCAGGGTCTACATCGTGCCGCAGATCTTCTACAATGACTTGTTCAATAACATACTCGGTTGGTTCTTCATCTGCAACGACGGCATTGCGCCGTATCTTACAGAGAAACAACTGAAACAGTATCTGCTCAACGCGGAAAACACGCTGTTGCACGCGAAAAAGTCGAAGACATATATCGACAAGGTGTCCTCCTTGTCAGACCAATTGTCGCGGTTGCGCATATAATTTTGTCTTTGCCTTCCCTATCTCTTTGAATAACTAACAATTATAATGAGACTATAAAATTGGTCCTTTTCTTTTTTATCTTATTACATGTGACAAGCATGCAAAATGTTTTTCTCTGTCTTGTTTTTGTTTTTATAATAGTGACTCTCTTTTATGGACTATTTTATCTCCTATGACCTGTATGAATATGATTCAAGATAGCATTCGTGATCCGATCTTATGTTCAAGATTGCTTTAAGTTCACCTTAGGAAGTTGATATTATGTTGATCGTTTTATTAAGTTTGTCTCTGTAGTTTAATTTTAACTAAAAATTTCTTGAAACTTTTCCAGACACAGTATAGATTCTTTCTGATCAGAATATCCAAGTTTGTCTCGAGATATTCCATTATTACGAATCCTATTTCTCTTTCTCTGGACATGATCTTAGAATCAAAAAAGAAATATAGAAGTACATGATTTTTTGTAGGTAAAATAATAGGTAATATATGAAGCCGATGAAACCGATCTTTACAGCGTTTGAAGGTGAACTTCAGCCAATCTTAAATGTAAGACCCGATTGTGATTGTTGTTCCTAAGATGGTATTAATAATTTGATATTTTAAGGTTGTTTCAAATTTATCTTTAGATGCTATGTAGTTTTATATAGAAAATCTTGTAAGAACTATAATTGAAATGTAGTTCAATTATTTCAGTGAAATTATAGACTTAAGAAATTTACATATGTTCAGGTTGGGAACCTAATCTTTTAAACACGTGATTCTAATTGAGAAACTTAAATATATCGAGATAGATTATTCCAATGCAATACCAATCACTTATTTCTATTCTAAACATTTAGAATAAAAAAAGAAATATAGGAATACCTTTTTGTAGGTAAAGTAAACGATTTCTATAGAAATGTCATCAAGATTAATAGAAGATACCACTAACATCTGCGTTCTTTATGCGCGCATTTTTTTCAGATTTTTGTTTGACATTAACTAGAATCACAAAAATATGTGTGGAATATTTTGGATAAACAATTAAATATATTTATATTTCATAACTATAGGTATAAAAGACATAAATATTCAAAGTATTTTCAGTATGTTTCTTTTTATCTTTTATTCAACTTTGAATTTTGAATTTAATAGGATTCCCTGCTGGAATCTCCATAGAAGTAGATTAAAAAAAATTTATATTTCTATATTTCTTTTTTGATTCTAAGACCATGTCCAAGGTAGGAATAGAATTTGTAATAGTGGAATAATTTATCTCGAGACAAACTTGGATATTTCGATCAGAAAGAATCTATATCATGTTTGGAAAGGTTTTAAGAAATTTTTAGTTAAATATAAACTGCGAAGACAAACCTAATAAGACGATCAACATAAAATCGAACTGCGATCTACCGCTTTTAGTTTTAATTTTTATACTGAGGATACCACATAGTTAGATGGTAAACAATTGTCTAATGTTAGTTTAGTTGACCATAGTTTAGTTTATTTAAGGTAAAGTAAGTAAACGAGGACTGGAAAATGAAAGATACGCGCACTTGTATTTACAGCGTATTTATAGCTTCCATTGCGTGTTTTATTATTGTTGTTATTAAGATTTCTAGGAATACATCTTATTCATGTACACATGGGCTACAATTGATTATTCCATACTTTAGTTTTCGCATACAGTCGAGAGAAATGTCGCGTGGAATGTTCAGATGGGTCTCGCTCGCTTTACTATAGATATGTTCTCCCTTCATCTTCGCCGACAGTTCGAGAGCAAGCTGTCGTGCGATTGCATACAGTAAAGTCCAACTATCTATATACATTAAAGTTCTCAGCGACGAGATACAAATTAGTCTATATGTGATAATAAATTTTGCGATATTGCTTTGCACGCTTTCACATCTCGCGGTCCGTCTGGGAATTGCGTTGCTCGTGTCTCATCGAAGAAGAAAACTAGAAGCAAGATTGACACGGTCTCTCTCTCTCTCTCTCTCTCTCTCTCTCTCTCTCTCTCTCTCTCGGTACATCGAACGAACAAGTCGATACAAGTTTAAAATCGTCTTCGAAAGATTTCGCATGAGATGCCCTGTAGAGACATCTCGAGTCGATAGAAGAAATAAAAACGCGGCGAGACCGAATACGAAAAAACCGATTACTTACACAACTATGTATACGTAGAATAGTTATAATGCGCGCCTTAACTTAAAAGTCTCACTCTTTTAGAGATACGTGACTAACAATAAATAACACGATGTAGCATACGTGTGACTATGTGTGTGTATATATATAATATATATAATATATATATATATATATATATAACTTACAAATCTATACTGTAAAATCTTTGGGATTAAACGCAGCGACGTCTTCTCGCGATCGCGACTGAGACACGAGACCGAACTTCGTCTAATACTGGCGCGAACAGAAATGCAAAACCATACACACACGCACACACACGTACACACACACACACACACACACACACACACACACACACACACACACACACACACACACACACACACACACACACACACACACATATACAACACATGTGTCGTTGCTTCCGACAATTTCGAGCACGCGTTTTCGTCGCACACGCTCGCACGAAGCATACACAGTCATCGAAGATGCAGACGAATATCCTGAAAATTTATATGATCCACATATGTACAGGATACAAGGCATGCACTTGTAAAACGCGAGGAGAAACGAAGGCTCGAGAGACGTTACAGAGGAACTTATGTTCAAAGCGTGAGTCGTTTCCGTCGTGCGTCGAAGAAGGAAGATGCGTGATATCTTGACCGTACTTGCCTAGCCACCGAATCTCAAGCTCTTAAGTATTCTACGCTGAATTTTTTCTCTTCTCTCATTTTTACATTCTCATAGGACGAAAGAGGATAGTTTCAAATAGCTGTGAATGCTCGAATTGCGACAATTTAGAGCTCATATTTTGACGAGGAGCTACTTGCGTTATCGTCGTCGCGATTTATATTGATCCGGTAAATTCACAAGTGCCTAGCGTTTGTCATCATCATTTGAGTCTTTACATCGTTCAGGTTCAAAATTAGTTAACGTGGTTAACGTGTCGGTCCGCTTCGAAGTACATTCCGCTTATGTCGCTATGGATTGACTGCCCATATAGCACAGAAGTTGCGGTAATATTGCTGCAACATTGCAACATTGTTCCAACGTTGCAGCAACATTTTTTGTGCGCTGTACGAGTTAACTACGACAAAATCACCCCAGTCAGAACCACAACGTTGATTCAACGTCGATGAGGGTTGAATTAACGTTGATTCAACGTTTCATCGACCATTTTAACGTCAAATCAACGTCGAATCAACGTTATAGTTCTGACTGGGACCTGTTTCCTTCGTGCGAATACTTGAGAGTTGAGCTGATGAGTCGGCACGGAAATGAGGGGGAAGTGCAGTGTGCGACTTCTGCCGACAGTGGGGGGAAAGAGTGCGCGACGACGATGAGAATGATAACAAATAATATACAATTCGCGTTCGGTGATTCGACGGGAATAAGCATGCCGGATGAAAAATAGATGAATCGAGAGGCACTCGCGTGTTCTCTGTGAGAGACCGGTGTAATCTTCGGGATCGGGGACTGGTTTCAGTCCGTGTCTCCTCCTATTCACCGATGGGCACGCAAGTGAAATAGGGGGAGAGAGAGAGAGAGAGAGAGAGAGAGAGAGAGAGAGAGAGAGAGAGAGAGAGAGACAGAGAGAGAGAGAGAGGAAGGGGAGAGAGAACAGTGAAATATAGGAGGAGACAAACGGGAGCACGGGAGAAGTGTATGAAAGCAGTCTCCGATGAGGACAAGTTCCTGAGATGAATCCTGATCGACCTTTCCTTCACCTATTTTCCATCATGACGAGTGCACGCGGCGCTTGGTGTGATTCTCAACGAAGTGCAACTTCGTGTCGCAACGAGGGCCTCGCCGAAGTGCCGCTGCGACGCTTTAACGCACGCACGCACGTGTGATAAACATAGATAAAGTACATAAGGCACGATCGTGAACCTTGAAGAAACGCGGAGGCTCAGTGAATCCGAGCTAACGGCTCGACTGCTCACGATTCAAGGATGCCTCACGCCCGATTTTACTTCTCTACTTTTGCGCACGAGAGGGTGTGAGCAATTACTTATAACTGGGAAATTTATTAGAACAGCGTTAATTCCGAATTTGCGGATCATCATTTCTCAACGTATCCAGTCAGAACCACGACGTTGACTCAACGGTTCATCGATCATTTCAACGTCAAGTCAACGTTGAATCAACGTTATAGTTCTGACCGGAGTAGTTACGCTCTTGAGCTTCACGACTCATCCGATCCATATTGATCTAGGTTTCTCTGTGCACCGTCATAGAGAAGTTTTATGTCGATGAACAAGCCACTTGTACACCATTCTCTCTTGTAAGTCTTTATCTGAAGTATATTGTCTCGAAAAAGACGAGAAATAATGAACAGAAGTCGCTGCAGTAAAATACGATAAGCTCAAACTGATTCGCAACTCGAGATAAAGCTAGAAGACTGCTCATGCTCGTACTGTTGCTGAGACAATCGGGACACCGAGTGTCCAAGTATCGAGATGTCCACAGCCTTCACAGCCTTGGCTTCGTCGATCTTTCCGATTTTGTACGAGAGCAACGCATTGACTTTCTCGATTTCATGCGAGGGCCTTATTAAGCAACCTATACATCTGTCATCATTATCTGAGATTTATCATCATTCAGATTCAGAATTACTCAATACCGATTGACATGGTCTATCAATGATCGATGCTACGCATTGAGAAAAGAAAAAGAACTTTTACACCTTCAGATTATCATTCATACTCGGTTCGTTCAAAGATTCTTAAAGAGTCGCAGATTTGCTTTGGATTAAAAGTAAAGCAACAGTGTATAAATAGTTATTTTCTCAACGTATTTTAACCTAACTTAACCTAATATATTTTTTTGTGAGATTATACAGATTCAATATTTATTAAAACAACATTGGAGAATTTACTAAGTCATCATCTTTTAAATCTTGCTGCAAATGTTCATATACCCTTACAAAAAATGTCTTAAATCTTAGGTTGAAAGACGAAAACTAATTACGTTTACACGGCAACGTTAATCCAGATTAGTAACAACCGTAGTTAGTGAATTCTTTGATCCGATTGGTATATTCCTTTAGATCTAAAAATATCTCTAATCGGATTCGAGATTGCACTAACTACGGTAGTTACTAATCGGGATTAACGTTGCCGTGTAGCAGGTCTCACTGTTTATGAACTTTTTTTTTGTGATCTTTTGTTTTTTTTTTGTCTTCTGGCTTTTAATGTATTTTCGAATCATTCAAACATAAATGTGCATTTGACACACTTTGAACATTGTCACGCTACAAAATAGCAACTTTTAACAACAATCTTCTACGTCTACTCAAGTTGCAAGTTTCAGCTTATCGTGCATTTCCACTACAACGAGTGTCGTTCATTGTTACAAGCAATGAATGAGTGAATTGTTCATCTCTCAGTTCAAAACATTTTTCTCTGAGGAATACGCACAGGAGTGTCTATCGGATTCGATTTTGCTTAACCTCTCTTTTGTCGTTTCAGCAGTTCTAACCGTTTAAAAGAACTTACTTCTCATGATCTTGCCTTCTCTTAGAGGGGTCCTCCGAGGAATAAAAAATCCCTCCCCGTTTTTCTAAATAGAGTGCACAATCTTTTAATTTAATAACACATTATAGTAACATAAATATTAATTTTGATTGATAACATGATAACATGATTAATAAATAACATAATGACACACAGGGGGAAGGTTGATATTGTTCTAATAAACTTTTTTTCGGAATACACTGCGAATAATTTCGTATTCACCCTCGCCATTTCTCATCGTCCGGTAGATTCATAGCCTTCGTCGTTGCTCCTTTCATAGTACATTCTGTTCATAGTACATTAGCAGCCCGCGTTCAGGCTCGGAAATGTCCGCTATTCGGCAGTCTACGCCTCCGGCTGACCGTTTATCACTCGTTACGATTGACACCCAACAATTTCGCCGCGTCGTCCGCCGTGCTGAGAAGAACCTTGTCGAGTAGACCCTTTTCGCGTATCCCCAGCAAGTCGGAGATCAGATCATTCTCGCCACTTTCGCCCGACGCCTCCGCGGGCGGAGGCGTGGAGCGAAGGGGAGGGTGCGCAGCGTTTTGGGAGCCATCGTTCGCCATTCTGCCGGTCAAAGTGGCCATATTATCGTAGTGATTGTACCGCATAAGCGCGCAGGGCGCCGCATCCGCGGTCGCGACTGCCGCGACAGTCGGCAGGGAGATTCTGTCTTGAGTTCGGGGTCTGCTGGTATTGGTTGGTACCGGCGAATGTTGTTGGCTCCTCGGGGTTATCGTCGGTGGCTGCGTAGGCGGGTTTTCCTCGTCGCCGCTATTAGCTATGTACATGGACGAGTCGACGGACTCGTGCTTCTTGCGGTGACGCAGCATGCTGTGCTTTAAGGTGAACTTCCTGCAGCAGATGTCGCATTGGAAGGGCCTCTCGCCAGTGTGGGTTCTCATGTGCCGCCTAAGGTCCTCCGCGGACCAGAATCGTCTCATGCAGAATGCACATACAACCTGCGGAAATTGAGAGTTAGTTGGTCCATGTGCAACTGACACTTTCTTCTGAAATGCCGTCTAAATAGGAGCATAACGGCGGACAATTAACAACTTATCACTTTGTTGGCTTCAAACTCGTAGAATTCAGTGTTCTTAAAAATGGAAATTCGACTGTTATTGGTTACTGTTATTGAAAATAGTCAATGACTATTGTTTATTGCATGGAAAATAATATTGACTATTATTATATATAATATTATAATATTATTATATAATATTATTAATAGTGACTATTATTAAGTAGTATCGTTGAAGATAGTTAATGACTATTATCAATTAAAATCAGTGAAAATAATGACTAATATCAATTGTAGTCATTGAAAACAATGACTATTATTAATTATAATTATTAAAAAAAAATATATATATAGCTATTATTAATTAATTCTATTATTAATAGTCATTTAAAATAGTCATTGACTACTATCAACTGCAGTCATCGAAAATAGTGATTATTATTGATTACAGTCATTGAAAATAATAAGTATTATTAATTGCAGTCATTGAGAATAGTCACTGTGAGAAAAATATGTAAATACAATTAGATCTGGAAAGTGGCATGTAAATAAATTCACAAAAGTCGTGATCAGTTTGAGCCAATATATTTATCCCCTCTCCTTTTTCCCCGTAATAGTTACCTTTCTGTTACTATAGTCGTGGAAACGACCGCCTTTCCCTTCACCGTCGCTGGAATGTTGTTGAGCTAGCATTTGGTCCTCAGACGCGTCTATGTCCATGTCCAATGCGCCCTTGGCCACTAACATCTCATATGAACGCTTGTGATTCACCTTGATATGCTCCAGACAATCTTGGCGCTCTGTGAAGCAGCTGTCGCACAGGTGACATTTGAAGGGCACATCGACCGGTGTCGGGGATGACTTACGGGACCTGGTGGTTTCGTGATTTATCGACGGAGACGTGGTAGGGTTCGACTTTGTGGCGGACGGAGAATTGTCAGTGTTCTCGGAGACACTAGACGACCGACTCTCGTAGTCGCTTTGGTCGTTCTGCGCGGACGACTGCGGCGGGCTGTTCTGTTGGTCGCTAGACGGCGTGTCCGACCTCGACTTGGTCTTGCGAAGCGCGTGCTTCGTTGAGCGATGTTTCTTGAGGTTGCCCAACGTGGAGAACGTCGAGCTCGGGCACTGGTTGCATTTATACGGTCTCTCGGGCACGTTCCTCGTTGTGAACGTGTTGCTGTTGCTATTGACGACTACCTGCTCGACCTCCGGCGACGTGGAATTTCGAACACGGCGAGTCTTGTTCGCCTTCGTCTTGTGCTTCCTCAGTAAGTGACGGTCGCAGTTGGATTTGGTGGTGAAGTGATGTGAACAGTGATTGCATTGGTATGGCTTCTGGCCTGTGTGTGTGAGAATATGCCGTCTCAGCGATGAAGTCCACGGAAACGGGCGTTGGCAATACGGGCAGATCACCCTGTTTGGCGCCATCGAGTAAGCGGACTTTTTCTTCTTCTTTCTCTTCTTGCTCGATGAAGCCTCAGAGTTGAGCGAATTAAGCGAATCCGATTTCTCGCTGCCCGAATTGTTGTAATCGCTGGTCGAGGCCATCAAACCCTCCTCATCGCTTAAGTACTGCGGCTTAAATTGTTGATATTGTTGCGAAGCGTTGTCCAGGAGCTTCGACACGCTCGCCAAGTCTGCTGTGCCGTCTTCCAGTTTGCCCTGTTCGCCTCCAGTGGTTTGCGTCTTCATCGCGTCTTCGCTATATGTCTCTTTGCTGTCCACGGTCGGCAGTTCCTCCTTCTTGATCTTATCGACGTCAGAGGGTGTGATCTGCTCACTGTGAGACTCATCCAATGTGCCTTCCACAGATTCCTCTGCCTCCATTTTCACGACAACGTCTTTGACACCTTCGTTGCCCTCCAACTGGCCCCTCAACAAGCTCGCGTTGGGTTCTTGCTGAGCTTGCGACTCCTGCGGCTCCCGGTCGGCCGAGCCCTCGTCTATCACCATCTCCTGTTCCGAGTCGTTGTCATCCATCTTGCTGGCTTTCAACTGCTGCGCCAGAATCGCGTATTTCACTTGGTCGGAGATGGAGTGCCGGCTGTGCTCCGTCGAGGTCATCGGCGACTCGGTGCGCGGCGTGTTCGCGTTCAACTGAGCCACCTGCGGGCTCGGCGAGCCAACGTCTTCCGGAACGACGTCCGGATTCTGTACAGACATGTTAGCTGCGTGATTCGCAGGAGGTCTACCTCTGGCTGAGTGGCCTCCACGGGCCTTCTTTTGGCACCAACGCTGAGGATGCTGCTGCTTCACGTGTCGGTCCATGTTGCTCCTCAGGGTGAAACGCGCATAGCAAATTGCGCAGAAGAACGGTCGCTCGGTGCGGTATCTGCGTTGCTTCTGCTTGGGCACCAATATGCCGTCTTTTAGCACCATCTTCACCGAGTTGTTGGACGGCACGTTCTCGGCTCGTCGTGTTAATTGACGCGAAGTCGTCGACTGCTGTTGAGTGGCTGCGACCTGTGCATTCGGACTCGGGTACCCGTTCGGCTCGCTCGGGGGCTGCGGAGTGCCAGTGTTGCCGCTCACCTGAGAATGCACCGCGTAACTCGTGCTAGGCAAAGAGTGGTCCACCATGGTGCCACCGCCGGTCAGCTGCAGGCCTCGCACCAGGTCCCTTTGCAATTTGCTGCCGTTCACCGCCAACCCGTGGTTTAGCATTTGCGGGTTGAGTAAGTACGGCGGTATCATGCTGGCGCCGACCGCGCCGGCTGTCAAAGTGCCCAAGTTACGGTAAATGAGGGAACGAGTGTTGGCGTAGAAGCTTTCGAGTGACGTCGGCACGGAGTTCTGCGCGGCGGCGGCGTTGCTCATAAGAGCATGCGTGAGGAACAACGCGTGGCTGGTGACATTGTACATCTCTCTCTGCCTGCTGCTATGCTGCAAGTCCTCTGCGCTAGAAGAGCCAGATGCCTCACCCTCCCGCTTGCGTTTCTTGCTCAAGTCTAATACGTCCATAGACAAGTCTAGCGGACTATCTTCGGACCCACTCGCGGCTGGTACAAAGTGAGCGCCGCTCGTGGACGGCTTCGACAGATTCATCGGACTAGCTTGAATTCTTTGGTCTGGCCTGGTATCACTGACTAGAGATACGCTGCCATCCGACGATCTCGACTCAGCGTCTTCGTCCGCTCGCGAGCAATTGACGTTCATCAGCGGCAGTTGCAGCATGATCAGGTCCGGGGTGTCCTTCTTCACGAGATTCAGGGGTTCCGGCTTGTCAGAGCGCGTCGTCACCGCTAATGCGGATGGACCTGGATTTCTGCAGTCCGTCGTGTAAGGCTGTTGTTGGTGGTGTTGGAAAACAGCCTCTTCGTGTTCGCTCGGGTAAACCAACGTCTTCCGTGCGTCCTCCCGGTTGGCTCGGGGCGAGCTCCTGCCGACGACGTTGTCGTTGGTCGAGTCCTCGTTCGGGTGGTAGATGAGCGCGTTTTGAATGTCCTCCTTGCTGCACATATTGTGCGTCTTCTTTACGTGCCTCTCGCAGTTCGCTTTAGTGGTGAAAGCGTAGTTGCAGAGCGAGCACTCGAACGGCCGGTCGCCGTTGTGAGACCTTACGTGCCTCTGCAGCGTCGTCTTGTCAGTACTGGTGTAGGAGCACATGTTGCAAGGATACGGCAAGCCGTAATCGCCAGCATGCTTGATGTGCACGCGATTGTGGCCCTTGAGCGCTCGCAAGTTGCGCAGCACCTCCGTACACAACTTGCAAGGGAACTCGCCCTTCAGCTTCATTTTGCGAAATTCCGCGGCGAAGGACTCATGACCTTCCTCCTCAGTGTATTCGGACGAGCAAGTGCCCGACGAGCCGGAAGAGCCGACGCTCGGGTTGAACTTGACGTTGTTCTCCGGCGTACTCGCGTCGGAGCGCGGGAACGACATGGGCGCGTTGTTGGCGACGGTCAGAATGATGCTCTGGATATCCGCCAGGTCCTTCGGCTCTTTCACGTCGTTCGTTGTAGGCTCTTTTACACGTTCTTTGCGCTCTTTCAGTACCTCGTGCGCCGTCGAGTTGTTCTGCAGGTCCAAAGTCGCGAAGAAGGTCTCGCGCTTGACTTTCAGGTCGTCCGCCGGTGGACTCGCAAGATCCAGGTCCGTGTCGAGGTTATTATTGGTGCTGATGTTATTATTGTTATTGTTGTCATTATTGGTCCTTTTGTTCTCATATGGACCTTTGCATTCCTCCTCGTGGGCCAGGTGAGCTTGGCTGCATGGGAACGCGCGGAGGCACTTCATGCACTGGAACTTGTTGGCCTCACCTGAAGCTGGCCGATGCGGTTCCCGCTCGCACACCGCCCGCGCGATCGTCGGGAACTTAGTGGACGAGAAGTCGACGAACGTGCAATCGTTGAAGCCGTCCACGTAGTTGCGCGCGCCCCGACTGTTCGTGCCAGTTGTATTCTCGCTGAAGTGCTTCATGCTGCGGTGCAGATTCAGCGTACGATGGTTCTTGAACGTAAGGTTGCAGACCTCGCACTTGGCTGGGAACTCCGGGTGGAGGCACTCCAGGTGAGTTTGCAGCAACGCGCTTGTCGCGAAGTCCTGCCGCCCGCAGACCGGGCAAGTGAAGCCCTCGTCCAACCTGATCACCATCTTGAAGTTGTTCAGAAGAATCTTGCTGTCCCTCCTTTGACTCTCCGTCTCGTCTACCTCGCTGTCCGGACACTTTCGTTTGTTCGTCGTGCGGCCGCTAGGTGACGCTTCCTGCCGCTCGAGCGACTCTGGCGAGTTACCGCTAGCCAGCTCGTTGCTGTTGTACTCGTCTCGGACACTTGCCGCTGGTCTGTCCGAGCCGCTGCTGCCTCCTTCAGAGTCTGTGCAACTGTTGGGCGACAGTGTCCGATGAACTGGCCGCTCGTCGTTGGATGGTACTAGGACTTTGTTGCATTTGCCGCAACTATAGTCTTCCTCGCCGCTGCAGTCCGTGCTGCGAGGTGAATTGTGCTCGCGTTGGTGATTCAGCTCGCGAGAATTCGAGAGCATCGACGGACATGTCGAGCATGGGCGCGCGCTCTCCACCAGTTCAATCTGTTTTTAGGAAAACAGTATTAGTTGGGCACGCGGTATTTTTTCTTTAATTGTACGGACTATGTTGATATATACAGGGTGTCCCATTTTAAGTGCCTCAGGTAAATATCTAAAAAAATATGGAAGATACGGAAAAATATTTCAGACAAAAGTTACATAGTTTTAAGAGGGACATAAAACAACTATATCAGTTTATTTACAAATAACACCACTTTCGAGATATTTACTGATCGTTACTTTTCTTAAATGGAAATTCCAATTTTTTATTATATCATCTTTTTCCACCAATTAATTTGAACAACTTTTGTCTGAAACATTTTTTTATTTATCTAATATTTTTTTAGATATTTTTTAGATATTAGAAAACAACTTTTTAAATATTTAACTTACATCTTGCTAACTTGTTGTCGACAGAAAAAATGGTACTAGACTTTTTCACTCTATTTAGTCTCAAAAATATATTGCTTACAATAGCATATTGATTTTTGTTAATTTTATGATTTTGAAATTTCCAAAAGTCGATAAGTTAACAAACATTAGGGCATTATAAGGGCATATAATGAGATATTCTTGAGATCAAATAGAGGAAAAAATTCTAGTATTATTTTTTCTTCCGACAAATAGTTAGCGAGATATCGTATGTTAAATATTGAAAAAGTTACCAAGTTTTCCTTAAATATCTCAAAAAATATTAGGTAAATACAAAAATGTTTCAGACAAAAATTATTCAAATTAATTGATAGAAAAAGATGATGTAATACGAATTGGGGTTTCTATTTAAGAAAAGTAATGATCAGTGAATATCTCGAAAATGCCGCCTCTGTAAATAAATAAACTGATATAGTTGTTTTATGTCCTCCTTGAAACCATACAACCTTTGTCTGAAACATTTTTCCGTATCTTCCATATTTTTCGAGATGTTTGCCTGGAGCATTTAAAATAGGACATCCTCTATATTAACATACGCTGTATTGCGCACTGATCAAATGTGAATACTCACACTCGATGACGGCGACGCAGCATCGCTCTGCGTTTCATTCTCTTGCTCTTGGTCGGGTCCGTTTTGGGTGTCCGTCACTGTAAAGCGAAAGGAAAGTATTCGTATAAGATGTGGTTTGCTTAACTGTTGCATCGAGTGCGCAATGAAGATATAATTAGTCGGTGAACAATACAAAGAATGTACAGAGTGTCTCTATAAAGATGGGTTCGTCTCTCACTAAAAAACGTTTGAGTGCCCCTCGCGAATCGTGCATGTGTGAAATAGACAAAAAAGTGTGACAGGCGGTTTTAGGCTTCGAAATATGTTCGGCGATTGAAATGACTATTTTAATGTAATTTGATAAGATTGATTGTAAGCGATTATTTCCAGAATTGTAAAGTATGTAAAAAATACTAGATATAAGTATTTTATAATATTTAATATTCCACAACTATGTGTGTGTTCAAATTCTTACAGAAAGTGTTATTTTTTAAGCTAAGTACATTGTGTTAATATGTGTATTTTTATTTGATTTCTTAAGGTATTACAGTGCATTAGAGCGACTCATTTATTTTAACAAATTGATTAGTAGAGAGAAATGTCAACTTACGTATTGTTCAAATTTCAAATTTAATGGTTCATTAACGGTTAATATAATTGATCGTATCGTTTAAAATAAATTATTAAATCTAGTGATTTATGTGAATTAAAATTTTCCTTAAAATCTTCCGTTTTATTTTGAAAGTTAACATTTTCTCAAAAGCTTTACACACTTGACCAGTAAAATTGTATATTTTTAATTAATCGGGAAATGAGAGATATAACATTTATATTTCTTGGAGTGATTCAATATTTTATTTCATTAGAAAATATAAATATCATGATATTACAGAAAAAATAAAGGAATTCGTCAAATTGAATTGAAATAATAAAAATACATAAATTTAATTATATCAAGAAAAGTGAATACATAGTAATTCTTTCAAGTAAAGTAATCAACTAATCACTAAATTTTTTGATGAAAATAAGAAATTAAATATTTCTTGTGCAATGAAAAAATGGCGTTAATAAAATTTTCCATTTGTTGACCGCTATAGTGGATATAATATTTTAAGAAATCGAAATCAATCAGCCTGTGAAAATCAGTAGCAGCTAATTGGAAATTATCCATTTATGGATCTGAAAGTGCGAAATTTATATGATATCGTTCCAATTTAATCACTTGTAATTCCAAGACCAATATATCTTGACATTTTTGTATTAAAATTTTTAAAACACTAATTACAAACCAGAATATGTTGTTTAAATATTATATAATAGTTTTAGGACAACCTGTATCAAGTATTTCAGGAGCTGGTGGATATGTAATTTGACACAGAATGTCTAAATCTTTTCAAACAGGATTGAGGATTTCTTCGATTTAAATGGGAGGGGTGTAATATATTTTAATAATAATTAATTATATTATTTAATAATTAATATTTAAAATAATTACTATTTAATAATTATATTAATTAATTAATAATAATTAATTTTAATAATAATTAATGATAATTAAAATGTATTTTAATAATTAAGAATTAAATTTGTTTTAGAATTTTAAGTTTTAAAATGCTTATGCATAATCTCCACTCTTTTACACAATTAAGAGAATGATTAATTAATGTAATATTAAAGTAATAATCGGTCAATCTGAAGTTGTTATTTGTATCAATACATTCCTAAACGAGATTATACATGTATATTAATGTTATTAAATAATAGTAATGTCACCAAATGATATGTTAATTTCCCATGTAGCAGGATGTGAGATGAAACGAACCTAAGCGCAAAAAAGATCTTACTTCTTACATTAATTCAAGAAGAATGATTAAAATCTTACGAGAAAACTTTTTGATTCTATAAATATATTATAGAATTAGTCGATTAATCTATTTAATCGATTTTTATCATTGTTTTCTATCTCGTAGCATCTTGTAGATATGATGTAGAATAAACCATAGATGTGTGAGTAGTAAAAAGAGAAAGATAACAGCGTGTATCGCACATAGCGCAATATTTGCAGCAATGTCTACAGCAATTGTTGTAGCAATATTTACTAAAAATATAACTTTTTGAAGCAACACTGTTATATAAAGATGAGAGACATTTTCAATACACAGGAGAGAGAAAGACATTTTTTTCAGAGAGGCATGTAAATTCGATGAAAATAATTCCATATATTCATATAAAATGTGTTCGTCCTATAATTGAGATATTCAACTTTCAAATTAGAGAAAGAAGCATTTTTTTAATAATTTGTAAACTATTTGATGGGTTTTCACTACGCTTAAATTCTTTTTATGCCAAAAGAAGATCGTAAGAATAATACGATGCATTTTTTGGCATCACATTAAAGAAGCGAGTCAGACCGTTCTTTTTGAATTCGCCATAATGTTAGACTGAATAATTCTCTGGCAAAGTGATTACCATGTTATGAAATTATTTAATATTATATGAACGAGAGAACTGTTCTCGAAGATTGACTTGAAGAATATCATAGAACTAATAATTTTTAAATGTTAAACGAAAGATCTACAATGGCCACAAAAATCTGTAACGTTTTATCTTAATTTAATTGTATTAATTTATTGTAATTAATTAATGTAATTGTAGTTCCTTAAGTACTTCTATTCTATTAATATTACTTAACACATAAAAACATCGAAGGAAAAATGTAAAAGATAATATCGTAATAATTCTTTGTTTTCTTAAACATCAATATACGTAATAAAAATCTTTTCGATCGGGAAATTTTTGAATAGGAAAACATCCAATGAATAATTTTTTCGCATCTGCATAAATTTATATTCAATAAATGTATGTCCCATCGACAACTTTATCAAATATTTCGTGCGTGTGTTTATCGCTAATTAAGTAGAAATTTTATTAATTCTTTCTAGAAATATTCAATCTTTAATTAGTATTTCTTAATGAGCCGCTCGTGAGCGTAATTGATGTTAACGTAATTAAATAAATATTGCTAGACAATGTCAAAATTAGAAGAAAATATTTGTGTGATATTTCATCTCCAACAATTTCTTAATCAGTTAAATTGTCATCATTAAATTAATTGTCATCATTAAATTAATCATTAAATTAATCAGTAAATCATTAAATTCTTAAATTCTTAATCATTAAATTTTTATAGATTAATTACGCTGAGAATATTCTAGAAGCAACCACTTTATCGAACCGTTTTAAATTCAAAAAATGCTTACGCGATTCCTTATAAATCAATATTTCAGAACAACATACAACTCATTTAAGTTTAATTTTTTATTTGTTTTATTTCTTATTTCTTCATCCCGAGGAGACTCATTGATTATGGCATAAATTCAAGTTTGCACTTATCTTCAATCAGAAAATAAGAAATCCAACTTCCAAATTCCAATATATCGGAAGAGAAAGGTAATTTTAGATTTCACGAAAAAAAAGCGTGGGAAAAACAAGTGAGTTTCACATAAAAATTTTTTAATGCGTTTATAAAAAAATGTGAACCTCTAAAGTTTTGATTCAGTGTTTTTATACAATGATGTGCAACTAAAAGCCAGGTAAAACACAAAATACGCTGTTTTCTCTTTAGATTGATAAATTAAATTAATAAAAAAAGAACAAATTAAATTAAATGCTCGAAATGTGAACCATTAATTTGCAAAGACTTGTAAAGTAAGTAAACAATAATGAAAAATGAAATAAAAATTATATGAAATATATAAATATATATTACTGAAAATAATAATAATAAAATAAGTAATTTGATGAGAAGAATAGAGAGACAAGTGTTTGAAAAGTCAATATTACTATTATCGATGCTAATCGCAACAGTTCGTATCGATCTGAATACAAATCGCCGAGGAAAGCATAAAGTTCACGTTCAGATTTCTCGTCAAGTCGTTTATCAGACTTCAAGAATTGAGACACAGAGACCGGAAAAACCCGGAGCAAATGCGATCATCCTGGACCACAAATCAGCTGACGAAACAGGAAAACCGAGACACTTCGGACGTAGCAAGACGAGTGGTGTACTTAAACAAATTAAAGAGCGCACGCGCGCGCATGCGCACAAGTATAAAATTATTCTAAAGGACACAATTATATACGTCTACACATCAAATCCATCGCGGTTGGTGTTATCTTTCTGCGGTGCTATGGTTCTATCCCCTGTTATCTGCTTCATTCGTCTCGTCGGGAAAAAAAAGAAAAAATAGAAACCGGAAGAGAGCGACGATTCTCCTCGCTGAAGGAAGACGGATTCGAGACACGGAACATAAATTTCGATTTCTCTCTTCTGAGTGTCCGTTTGCACAGATATTCGCTCGGTTTTCATGAAGAATCGCCCATCAGCCGTAATGATCCGCGAGCGATTGGAGAACTTCGCCTCGAGGATACGCAATCCTTCCTCAAGAAGATCGCGACCTTAAACGTAACGGTCCGTCCTCGATGCGGCGATTACGGGCCGCGGCGTAAGGCAGACCTTCGCGTTAACGGTGTAATAACGTAAAATGTGCGGGAATAATAATAATAATAATAATGGTACCGACCGACGTGCGTCGGCCTGAAAAGCGCGGATAAATAGGAGCCGCCGGATCCTGGCAGCGTTGTGCTTGTCTCTCCGCGGAAACTCGCTTGCTCTCCGCCTTAGCGGGTAAGGAACTGTGTCAGCGGCAGGACACAAATCTGACTAAGTATTCCGGAAGCTGATACCCAGACCGAACCGCAGATCGAGCCGGGACAATAACATTTATCAGCGCGGCCTCGCTCCGCGCTCTAACCGCACTCGGCTGTTTGCACACTTTTGAGGGACGCAGCGAGCACATCTCGCGATTAGCGGTCGTCGTTTCCTTATCGATCCGAGAGAAGTCGAAGCTCCGACGCTCGAGCCGACGGCGGAATCACGATCGGAATCGCGAGATACGATATGACGAACTATGCCAATCGATGGCCGGTCGCAATTAAGGCTATTACACCATATCCTGAATCAGCCGATTTGATAACTGGAACAGTCGGTTACATCATCGGAGAAACATCTCGCTTAATTTCGAGATCGAGTAGAAGA